AACTTAACGTCTTGGTTTCTGATGTTCTCACTCTTCATTTGTGTCATTTGTGATAAGGTTAATAGAATTTTCTAGGTGATGAATAATTTCTGTTGCAAGTATTCTTATTAAGCTGGAGATATAAAGCTTCAGCTTGAGACATAGTGACAGTCCTAAAATCTAGTATTTCAGGGTTAAAGAAGAAATTGATAAACAAATCCTAGTTTATCGAATCAACTGGGAATTCTTGCAATAAGAATGTTTCAACATCTGTCTAAAAAACCGATTTATTGTCGGTATCAGGTAGTTGGAGGCAATCGACAGAAAGCCTTGGACTTAGTTCTTATGCTAGTTGACACTCACCAGTCAGCAGGGCGCATCTGCAATCTCGAAGAGACTCATGTCCCTTCTAAGATTCCAAACCGCGTCACCCAGCACAGTGTTGCAGTCACAGACATTACCACGGAACTGTTCGTGGTCGCGATTGACCTCCTGTAGGATTGTATCGGACATTTTTGATTGGACATAGTGTCTCGCTATGAATTAAGACGAAGAACGTGGGCTATTAATAACTAACTTCCTAACTCATAATGTTACAAAGGATATAACTATTAACAGAAAATATTTCTTGAAAAGTTATCCAGTAAACAATACTATTTAAATATGTGATGTATCTAGTAAATAAATAACTCAGCAGAATACTCAAGATAAAAAACACCTTTAAAAAAGCTGATAAATTGAATGATTATCGTTCTAGTGTTGGATGACACTGCAGGTACTATAATCATTATAGAAATAACGAACCAAACCGAAAAAGCCCAAAGAATGATGAAAACAACTGACGTATATACCAGCAAAATATTCAAGCGTATTTTAAAACTGGGCCATCGAATCTAAAGGACCATAAAAATAATCATGAAGTCGGGATGTATAAAAAGGAAGATTCGGTCGGTCGGTCGGTTGGGTCTTCGGGTACCTGAAATAGAGAAGAGGTTAGTGTTGCGTGACCGCAGAGCCCAGGGGACAAATGCTTGAGGCCAGTCACACGCGACCTGTTTTTGTTTGTTTTTTCTTGTTTGGTGTGTCTCAGTAGCGTATTTATCACTTCTGCCCTGTGACACGGCAGCAGAAAACGCGGTCGTTGTTAATCCGGGCCCCGACCGATCCGGCATGATATTTTGTGGATTTATTTGAATCATAGTGTAGGATTGGGTAGCTGCTTTTTGTCTAACCGCTATCGAAACCACCTTTCTGGCATGGTAGGACCTACAGGAACATACGTTCCAACCAGTATAGCTCGCTGGGTCATTGCGATATGCAAGCCCGACCACCACGTCAAGGTAGCAGCTATCGGCCGGGAGATTATTGGCCAATGGGATCTAACAGACTGATATTATCATGACTTCACAGTAGGCTGTACAAATTGCACACACCAGATATCACTGTCTACACCTATGAGCCTAAACCTAAGATCTTATCCGAGGACAGCTACGGAAAACTAATTTGGCTGGTTTAAATTTGATATTATCTTATCAAGTACCCATTGGTAATCCATGGGAAATCAGAAATATTCAACTGGGAAAAATGATAAAATTATGGTAACCTTACATGTTTCAGCATTATACACTTCAAATGGACAAGAGCCGATGGAATAAACCTTGCAATAAGTACCTAATAATGAGGCATACCTCTGTTGCTGGACAAAAATAAGGTAATGGATGGATGCAGCTAGTAGGTTTATGCCCTACAAAGTACTTTCATTTTACTGGCTGAACAAACAAACATTTAAAAGGGACACGAGTTGAATCACATATCAGAAACGGTTGATGACGCAGTTATCCAGACAACAAAAGCTATGGTTCTACGAATTAAAAAACAAAAGTTATGAATATGGTGCACTGATGACACACTTTTGATAATTAGACGCGTTGGCTTAGGAAGCATACACAATCTGAGTAACAACTTTTTTGACGACAAAAATTCACAAGACAGGAGGAGTCAGAAAACTATCCATATTCTTTTCTGACTCACAAGCACCTTAGAAGTGGAAATACAAGTATACCGAAAATCAACATCAGAAATCCAATAGTAAACAAAATCAATTGTGTATAAACACCATTTTAAAGAGTCAAGATACTATTGTGCCCTGAGAAGAATGCAGAATAAACATTGTCTGACTGTTTTCCAGAAAAATGGGCATCCATGTAACCTAATCAAAAATATGTCTACATTCAATTCAACTGACGATCTTTTCAACACGTGTTTTAAAGACCTAAGAAGTCAACACCAGAAGAAAGCAAAACCAACATCCTCTATGGGATAAATTGCATTAGCCAGGAAAAACATAACTCTGGCTAAAGTGCACGGCTCAATCATCATCAAATCTTTGAACAAAAACTAAAAATAAAGAGAGATCATTTAGATCCACTCAGAAACAAACCGTCCCAGCCCATATAGTTAAAAAACACAAAATAGGTGTCGTAGGGTTTTACAAAAAAATTATTAACTGAAAGAATCCTGTTCAAAATGCTAATTCATTTTCAAGTTGAAGATAAGTTTGTTTGATATGACACACAGGGATAGAGGGTTATTAACACTACCATTATGTATTAGACTCCATCACAATACCCACATTTTTAGTTATAGGTTGATCACTTTTCTACTTACATAACAATGAAAAGTTTTCACAAGAATTTTCAGTGGATCCTATCTTCTACTGTAATCACTTTCCAACAGGATGAATTCACGCGGATGCATAAATCCTGTAACCTGCCCTGTTTTATAATCACTTCCACACTAAACCAACCACCACATCAAACGACGTTGAGTGCTATGGCTTGAAAAACTGTTGTCTGCTGCCTTCTAAGGAACCGAAGTTTGTGATCAAACTAAGGCTAACAAAGTTAGGATTAAGTAAGTAATAAAGCACCCAGAATACATACAAGGGATGCTGGAGGAATATAAAATATATATTCTTTCGAAACGAGAATAAGTTGAGGAAACCTAATAAAGACTTAAAAAAGTGAATTTACCACAAAAATCCTACATGAAAAGTTATGATGTAACCTATCTAACTAGAGAATACTAGA